AAATTTATCTCATCCACGAATTGCATTAGCAAAACTCACAATACCTAGTCTGATAAAAGTACTAATTAGTCTATTTTTGAAAGGTCACCAACTGTCCTTTGTCAGTTTAGACTCGATCTGAAAAACTGTAGTGATTCACCAATAAGTTCTGATAGTAATACGTAAAATTGTAGTGATTCACCAATAAATTATAGTAACATGTAAAATTGTAGTGATTCACCAATAAATTCTGATAGTAAAATGTAAAATTGTAGTTATTCACCAATAAATTATAGTAATATGTAAAATTGTAGTGATTCACCAATAAATTCTGATAGTAAAATGTAAAATTGTAGTTATTCACCAATAAATTCTGATAGTAATGTAAACTTGTAGTTATTCACCAATAAATTCTGATAGTAAAATGTAAACTTGTAGTTATTCACCAATAAATTCTGATAGTAAAATGTAAAATTGTAGTTATTCACCAATAAATTCAGAATGAGCTAACTTGCAAATTGCATCATCTTGCTTTTTTTTTTCTTCAAAACTTTTCCACAGATGCATCACCCCCAGGATGAAATTATATCTTTAGCACTTCAATGACCCATGCCACATCAGTCAAAATAATTCCTCCCCCACCCTCCAGAAAAAATTTTGAAAGAAACTCCACTTTAATTGAAAAGATTACCAATAAGTAGCTTCACTGGAGTATTGTGTTCAGTCTTGTATCTACAGAAATAGCTTCACCGTATAGGTTGCTGGTTAACAAATCTGGAGTATTGTGTTCAGTCTTGTATCTACAGAAATAGCTTCACCGTACATGTTGCTGGTTAACAAATCTGGAGTATTGTGTTCAGTCTTGTATCTACAGAAATAGCTTTACTGTATAGGTTGCTGGTTAACAAATCTGGAGTATTGTGTTCAGTCTTGTATCTACAGAAACAGCTTCACCGTATAGGTTGCTGGTTAACAAATCTGGAGTATTGGGTTCAGTCTTGTATCTACAGAAATAGCTTCACCGTATAGGTTACTGGTTAACAAATCTGGAGTATTGTGTTCAGTCTTGTATCTACAGAAATAGCTTCACCGTATAGGTTACTGGTTAACA